ACTTACAAGCTCGGCAGTGCTTTGTTCGCTAGCACCATGACCAAAAGAGACTTGGGGGTCCTGACTGACCACAAGATGAATATGAGTTACCAGTATGATGCTGTGGCTGACAAAGCAAATCAAACTCTGGCATTCATCCACCAATGCCTCTCAAGGAAAACCAGGGATGTCACCCTCCCTCTTTACTTGGCTTTGGTGAGGCTGCAGCTGGAGTACTGCAGCCAATTCTGGGTCCCCAACCCCACTTCAAGAGGGATGTAGAGAAGCTTGACAGAGTCCAGAGGAGAGCCACTCATATGATACAAGGTCTGGAGGGCAGGCCATATGAGGAAAGGCTGAGGGATTTGGGGCTTTTCAGTCTGAAAAAGAGAAGGCCCAGGGGGGACCTGATAGTAGCCTACAATTATATAAGAGGAGTACATCAGGACCTGAGAGAAAAGCTGTTCACCAAAGCTTCCCCAGGGAAAACAAGATCTAATGGACATAAACTTCAGGAAGACTGATTTAGACTTGACATAATAAAACAGTTCTTTATAGTGCATGTGTCCAGGGTCTGGAACAGACTGCCCCAGAGCTGGTGTGAGCACCTATTTTGGAGTCTTTGAAAAAACATCTGGATATTTTTCTGGCTGGGGTCACTTGATCCTGGATGACTTCCTACCTATGATGGGGGGTACTGCATTTGATGATTTGCAAATTCCCTTCCAGCCCCTAATGTCTATGAAGTCTATGAAGTCTAATTCTAGTTCATTCAGTATTTCATTTTCTTTTGCCCTGTGTGTTTCTTTACAAATTGCCACATCTCTCTTGAAGTGCGGGGCCTGGGATTGGACACAATACTCCAGGTGAGGCCTCACCACTACTGAAAAGAGTGGAAGAATCACTTCCCTTGATTTGAAAGTGACCCTCCTGTTACTACAACTCAGTATGGTGTTGGCATTTTTTTTTTTTTTTTTTTTGCAAAAGGAGCACACTGTTATTTCATATTCAGCTTATGATCAACTGTAAAATTTTTTTTTTGCAAAAGGAGCACACTTATTTCATATTCAGCTTATGATCAACTGTAACCCCCTGTCCTTCTCTGTAGTACTGAAGCCTAGCCAGTCATTCTCCACTCCATAGGGGAGTGGTACCTCCTGAGTCTGGGGGGGCCTCCTAGCGGCCAGTCGCTGAGCACACCAGAAGCCAATTTCGGGGTGGGGGGGCGGTGGCACTGGTGCTCTCTGTGCCCCCCTGCCAGCCAGAGGGCTCACTGTCAGGGGGGCACCAGCACTCTCAGGGGAGGGCACGTGCCCCCCTGTGCCCTCCCTAAACATTGCCTGCACCCCAGTCTGTATTTCTTCATGGAATTATTCCATCCTAAATGCAGGAATTGGCTCTTGTCCTTGTTTAATTTACTTGGGATGATCCTGCCTTGAGGCTTGCACACTGGATTGGACTAGATGATTTCATTAAGTGCCTTCAGGCCTTATTTTCCTATGATGGGGGAAAATAAAAAAAATAAAACCACCAAAAAACCAAAAAACAAGTCTGTTGCAGGTCTTGAGGAGAACCACAAGGAGAACTAAGCTCATTTGTAGAATGCATTCTATATATGAACTTAGTTCTCCTTCTATATATTACAAAACAGATGGTAAGACTATTCTCAGTGCTGGAAGATGACAGAATAAGGAGCAATGGTCTCATGTTGCAACAAGGGAAATTTAGTTTGGATATTAGGAAATACTTTATCATTAGGAAGGTATGAAACACTGGAACAAGTCACCTAGACAGGTGGTGGAGTCTCCATCCTTGGAAGTTTTTTTTAAGGCTCAGCTATAAAAAGCTTTGGCTAGAATTGTCTAGTTCGGGCTGGTCCTGTTTGAGCAGGGGATTGGACTAGATGACCCCCTGAGGTCCCTTCGAATCTTACTTTTCTATGATTGTATGGGCATTTTTGCCCCCAGTACTATGGATTTCCACTTTTTTGATGTACTGAAGGTCTTTCATGTTCATTCCAAATGGATTGGACCAAGCTGAGGAACTTACCATGCAGGTGGTTCTGCTCCTGTAGAATAAAGGCTATGGGTGCATGTAGACACGTGGCTCGTGCTAGTATCTTTTACATAAGGTGTGGCTTCTCTTCTGTACTGTGTCTTATGGCTTGCTACAAACTCAGTCTCAACATGCTGCTCTAGGTTCCTATGAGTCATTCTTTCTGACAGGAGTTTGAGTGTGCCTAGAAAAGTTTTTACTGCCTTGTTCCTTCTGTATTACACTTTTCCCCAATGACCAATCTTTGTTCTAGCTGCTGACATTAGAAGTTGTATTGGTCTCTATGGCTTTAAATGCGTCTCTCCCACAATCCTCCCGTGCCTCATGGACCTGGCCTCACTCCTGCCTACTAACTTTTAGGATGCAGTGTCTCTTTGAGTCTCTGTGTGGTGGGGTGCTTCTGATATCCATAGGCATATCTGAATGTAGCGTATTCAGGGGTGTCTTTCTGTGGTATACCATTTATGTGTTTACTGATCCAGGGCTTATAAAACATAGTTGCCAGAGTTGAGGAACTCCCTGTAACTTAAGAATGTACAGCTTATATAGTGTGGAGTAAATAAAAGTTATCTCGAACTAGGGATTTGGTTATCTTAAAGTTATCTTGAACTAGGGATTTGGGGATGAGTCGTGATGCAGCACACCTGGTGTTTACCACATTCCACTGTATTACAACATTCTACTATCTAGGTTCATGGTTCGGTCATTATCAAAGAGCAAAAAGCTATGTGCTATAATACCGGCCTACTATGGAGTCAGCATACAAAACTCTTGCTATGAGCATTAAGTAAAGCTCTTACTATTACACTTGGTCAGGCATGATCTACCTGCTATGAATCCAAGCTGGTTTTCCTGCTGCATTATTTTTCCTGCTAGACTCCCACAAATATGATCCTTCATAATCTTTTCAAATACCTTTCCAAGGACAGAGGTGAGACTGACTGGCCTATAATTACTTGGATCCTCCTTCCTTCCCTTCTTGAAAATAGGGACCACATTGGCCATTTTATAGTCCTCTGGAACCTGACCCAAGTGCCACAAGTGCTCAAACAGCTGTGCCAGTGGTTCTGCCATGACACCGGGCAATTCCTTCAGTACTCTTGGATGCAGCTCATCTGGGCTTGCCGACTTAAATACATCCAGTCCATCCAAGTGACTCTGCACCAAGTCAGCATCGACAGTTGGTGGGCTGGTGTTCCTCTAATGCCTAAGAACCTGTTAGGAGATTTATCTTGACCCTTGTTCAAGAACACTAAGGCAAAAAAGTCATTTAATAGCTCAGCCTTGTCCCACTGTCTGTCACTAATTGCTCCTTCTTGTTCAGTAGGGCTTCTATGGTGCCCTGAACCTTCCTTTTACTCCCTACATACCGAAAAAAAAAAAAAAAAAAAAAAAAAAAAAAAAAACACAAAACTTTTTTGTCATCTTTAATTTGTGTTGCCAGCCTCAGCTCTGTAGTTGTTTTGGCTATTCCAACTGCCTCCCTGAAAGCACGGGCCATGTAGGTATACTTCTCCTTGGTAACTTCCCTGCTTTCACTGTGTCCCAGGAATGTAAGAGTGGGAAACCATGCCTGCAGAGAAGCCTAAGACAAATGGAAAAGAAAACAAACACTCACTGCCTGCAGGATGCAGAACAAGCGATGAAGCACACTGGGGAGAGATGCCCAGGCAGTTCATCAGCCATGCCCATCTACAGCTGTGACCAGGTGACATCAACAGGAGACACTGCCCTGAAAAGATAAAAATCCAGCCTTGAAAGTGTGGGAAAGGCAATGCTGGGAGTGGGAGAAGCGACAGGGGATCACTGAACTGGAGGCTCCCAGCACCGGCAAGGAGCCGGAGAGCCTGCATGGCTGTGGCAGTAGGAGCTGCAAGAGCTCTCCACATCAGGTGTAACCAGAACTGGAGTGGGCCGCAGGAACTAGCAAAGACCAGCGATGGCGGCAGCAGGAGCCACTATCAGAGCTCGCACCACTGTCGGCTGGCACCGAGATGCTGGGCTGGAGGCAGTTCTGGCAGGAGATGAAGAAGACCCTGGCTGGGGTAGAAGCACAGGTCCCAGCCCAAGGGACATGCTTGCCGAGGGCACTTGATGTGGTGGGGAGTAAAAACCCTACAGCTCTATGGTTTCCCCTGCTCTTTACCTTCTTTTTTCCTCTACTGATCCTTTTCCTTCCTTGTTTGGGTCCCCCTTGGCTTGTTTGTCTTGTGTGATTGGCGTGGTTCTTTTTGTTCATCCTTTTGTCCTATTTTCTTTCCCTGCCTAGCACAGGCTTACTCAGCCCTCCCTTACTGGATTTTGGAAAACAAAGACCCTGATGGGAGATCATGGGCAATACACGAACATGGTGGCAATCGGCACCATCCTTCTGGTAATATCTAGAGCATCAGAGGGGATGTCTCCAAAAACAAAGCATCTCAAACCTCCTGGGTCCAGTTGGAGTCCCAGACACCCATCCATGAAGGAGAAAGCATGGGAATGGAGGAAGACATCATGTAGGGGCTAGCTGCAAAAGATCCTTAGGCTTGTCACAAAGGTTGGCGCATGGCCAGGGTGTTGGGGAGGTTGGAGCCCTGTGGACATCCACCAACGGACATGACAACTCTGGAGGCATCCTCAACAGAGATCCCCTCCACTGAAGTTCTATCCAATGTCATGGCAGGTGAGTTTGGGGGGCCTCTATGAAGGTGATTGTGACAGGGGGCCTCCTGGGGCTGAACTCTGTGGCCCGCCCACCTGTCACCATGACAGGAGGCCTACTCAGGGCCGAGCTCTTCGTGGCCCACCCACCTGTCTCTGGGCAACCGCCCGCTTATCTCGCCCCCCACGCCTTTGATGATAATTGATTCGTATATCGATGTCAATTAAGCGGGAGGCTGCCCATTGTAGTGCCCCGATGCCAGGGGG